GGCAGCAAAAAAGAAAAAAAGAAAAAAAAAAGAAAAAGGCAGCAAAGACCTTAGTGGCAAGCTGGGAAAGGTAAGCTGTCCTCTCAAGTCCACCCCACACTTACAGAGAGTTCATGATATCTGCGGGAGCGAGAATACTACAGTCTTCCCCCGAATACAACGTACGGTCATTATAGCTGAATTTAGACTGAAAGATGGACCAAATTCGGCTATAATGACCGTGCGTTGTATTCGGGGGAAGACTGTAGTACTGTCTATCTCCCCCAAAATAGTCACTCGATCCCAGTCCTCCTTCAAGTTTTGTCTGGCCCGTGGTCCCACTAGCAAAGAGGATCAGATCGAATGCCCAAATCTGGACGAGGTTATGGACATGTGCAGGAAATCGAGCTTGAACTGCTTTTCTGCATCTCTGCATAAAACACATCGGATTCCAGATTCAGGAGCTCCATCCTGACCTCGGCCCTGGAGAAACTGAAATTTAAAGGACTATGATAAGGAAAAGGATTTGTATTCCAAAAAAAAAAGTATTTGTCTTCATGATGGCTTTTTAGATTATGATAAGATGCACAACTTTATAACATGGCTTGATATCTTCCGATCCATGCCTTTCCTAATCAAGCCCATGTTTCCTTACCACAGTAACTTTCCTAATCAGGCCCATGTGTATCCCCTTCACCCTCCTGACTCCCTCCCTTATCCCCTCCATCTTTTCTCCCCCCCCCCCACCCACAACCCGCCCCATTTCCCGCGACCCGTGTCGGTCCTGTAAGGCTGTACATACTCCCTCGCACCCCATCAAGCACCGAATTTATTAACCAGAGGACCGAAACATTCCCGGGCAAGCCCACTGTTCGGGTTGTGGGCCTGTGGGCCTGTGGGCCTGTGGGGAATCTCAAAGAACCACGCAAATTGAGGTCTAGCAAGAGGGGTGGCTCCGCTCTGTTGGTGGAGGTCGGAGTGGAAGAAGCAATCTGAACGTGATTGTGGAGAGAAGCACAAATTCACCATTTTTGTACTAGAATCTCATATGTTTTCCTGCATCTCTGCAGAAAAGACATCTAGATTCAGGCGCTCAATCCAATCGTCTTGGGTAGTGGGACCTCGCCCCTCAGTGGACTATTGTGCACCAGAGATTAGTTAAACAGGGAGCAATGGTACCAAACATATAATCCAGGTGGCACTGGGGGGGGGAACCATACCCCCCTCGATGGAGTTTGGATGTCTTTTTTTTTTTTTTTTTTTTTTTTTTTTTTTTTCAATCATCTTCACTGGGGCATTGAAGTATTCTTTCCGGGTTTTTTTTTTTTTTTTTTTTTTTTTTTTTTTTTTTTTTTTTTTGGGAAATGGATGTCATAATATCCCCTCACGGACTGGATAACATAATCAACATATACCCAACTTGAAGAAGGCTTAGCCTGAAGTTTAGTAAGCCTTGTACAGCCCCTCAGGCTGGGCCGAGGTCCCACTAGCAAAAAGGATAGGATAGAGCTCCCGAATCTGGATGTGTTTTAAGCAGAGATGCAGAAAAGCAGTTCAATCTCTATTTCCTGCACAGCTCCATAAACTCGTCCAGATTCAGGCATTCCATCGGATCCTCTTGGCTATTGGGACCACGCCCCTGCGGATGACTCTAGATAGACTAACAAAAAGATAGTCAGCAGGAATAATAATAGACTAACAAAAAGATAGTCAGCAGGAATAATAATAGACTAACAAAAAGATAGTCAGCAGGAATAATAATCCTTGTAATGAGCATTGCGGATGGAGATTCAACTGCTTTTCTGCATCTCTGCATAAAACACATCCAGATTCAGGAGCTCATATGCCAATCTCTCGAAGGACCCTCCTCACCACTGCCAGCAGTGCCAGGGCCAGAGTGACAGTCACTGCAGCAATTTCTGCCAACAATTTTGCACAGAAAACAAACAAAAAAATAAAAACATTTTGAGCTGATATGCGAAAACGAAGAAAAAGAAAAAAAAGGAGAAAGAGAAAGGAAGAGGGAAAAACATCCA